AAAACTGATTTGTTAACGGTAAATCAAGATTTTGGGGGTGGTTGGCAAATTTCATATATCGATTCTTGTTTTACTCGAAAAGACCTACCAGAAAATATACATAACTTACCAGGTATTTTTTGGTGTAATACGTGAAAAATTTTCGTCATCGTATCGAATAAAAGGGCTTGGCTTGCGGACGTGTAATAACTTCTTATTTTTTCAAAAAGAGTTGCCGCCTGCTAAAAAAATTAAATTCAAATTATTTTTAAGTTAAATCAATTATTACACTATGAGTATCGATCGGTATGGTTTTGAAAAGGCTTTATTACTTAATTATATGTAGTAGGGTTGCCACCGGTTTCTAAAAGCTAGTTCGACTTAAATAAAGGCAGTGCCACAGTGTTTAAAGTGTTTAACGAGGTTTTGGTTTAAAAATAATTTGAACAGGATTGCCATCTATTTGAGAAGTATCTCAATTATATGAAGTATTTTAAATTATATGAAATATTGGCGTCAAATAAAAGAGTGTTAAGAAATATTTAGTTTGAGAATTTATAACATTAAAGAGGGTTTCCACCTGTGTAAAAAGCCAAATTCAAATTATTTAATAAGTCAAATGAATTATTAAAGTATAGGTATAAATTGGCATCGGTTACATGTTGACATGTTTTTTTCTGAACTTTATTTAAGAGAGTTGCCATATGTTTTAGAAATTAAATTCAACTTGAATTAAGGGAATTAGATACACAATTTACATAAATATGTATCGCAATATTTGTGTCAGTCGAAAAAGATTTAACAAGGTTTTGGTTTTAAAATATTTTGAATAGGGTTGCCACCTGTTTTAAAATTAGAATTTAATTAAAGTATGCATAAATTAAATGAAATATTAAAATATGACGCGAAACGAAGGTGGTAAAATATCCTTGGTTTAAATATTTAGAATAAAAGGTAAACTCAAATTATTTAATGAGTTAAATGAATTATTAAAAATAGGTGTATCAAATGTAAACCCATTTCAGGCTTTATTTCTGAACTGTATTTAGGAGCGTTGTCACGAATTTAAAAAATCAAATTAAGCTGAACTCATAAGGCACATGAAATATGTAGGTATCACAATATCAGAGGCAAGCAGGGGCGCACCCAGGAATATATTTTAGGGGGGGTTTTATATTTCTGAATATATATCACCGGAAAATACTGAAAATTTGCTTCAGATAATACGCTTTTTAAAATACATTCATGCAAGTTTTATGTACAGTATGTAATAAATAAATAAACGTTTTAAAATCCATAAACTGCACTTTATTTACATAAGATTAACAGAACTCAAACACTTTTAACCGACTTCAAAAAAAGAGGAGGTTATCAATACGCCGGAATACATAACTTTTGACCACGTGAACCGATTTCAATAATCCTTTTTTTATTGGAAACATGGTACCTCAAGGGTCGTCCCGTAATTTGGTTTAGAGATCCGATGATTGGATCATGAAGAAATTAACGGTACCCCTAAATTTGAAGTCGGTTGTGTTCTTTCCTTAAAAACTACTTGTTTAATAAAAA